CATGCTCATGGATTGGAAGAATCAATATTGTTAAAATGTCCATACTACTCAAAGCAATCTACATATTCAATGCAATCCCCATCAAGTACCAATGACATTCTTCACAGAAATAGAAAACATAATCCTAAAAATTATATAGAACTACCAAAAACTCAGAATAGCCAAAGCCATTCAGAGCACAAAGGACAAAATTGGAAGAATCATATTACCTGACTTCAAATTATACTACAGAGCTATAGTAACCAAAATAGCATGGTAATGGACATTGGTCTGGGCAAGAACCACAAAAAGAATGAAATCCTGCCATTTGCAACAACATGGATGGAAAACATTATGTTATGTGAAATAAAGCAAGCACAGAAACACAAATCCCACGTGGTCTCAACAATATATGGGAGTTAAATATTAAAAGCAACTGATCTCATGGAGACAGAGAATAGAATGATGGTTACTAGAGGCTGGGATGAGTAGCAAGGATTGGGAGATAAAATGGGAATGGTTAATGGGTACAAAAATATAGATAGATAGAGTGAGCGATATCTGATAGCACAACCAAACTGAATATAATCAATAATAAGTTAGGGTATACTTTAAAATAACTAAAAGAGTAGAATTTGAATGTTCTCACAAAGTAACACAAAGTAACAATAAATGTCTGTGTTGATGGATATCCTAATTATCCTGATTTCATTAATTGACACTGTATGCCTGTATCAAATAAAACATGTACCCTTTAAATATATAACTACTATGTACCCATAAAAATTAAAAATAAAATTTAAAAAATTAAAAAAAATACTACTTATAAAATTAAAAAATGAATCAGTGGGCCCTTAAAATAAAAATTACGATTTAGTCAAACAAGCTCACTATTTAAAAACATATATAAAATCTACAAGTCATATTATACATTTTTATTTATCTTTCATTCTTTTTTTAACCTAATTTTGTAAGAAAATTTTATAATGCCTAATGTTAGGCTGCTACTTTTAAACACATATAAGTCATAGTAAAAATTGAGAGCAATGAATATAGCAATAGAAATTTGACACAAGAAAAAAGCAAACGTATCAAGATATAAATTATTATAAAATATTAGTGAACACTGCATTATCTCATGAGATGGAGTTTTATGATTTAGTTTCAACCACTGTCCAATTTTTGCATTACAAATAGTATTGTCAAGAACAATTCTGTCACTTCATGGAAAACATTCAACAGTATTTGTTGCAAATTATACAATTTGAGCTTTTTAGCAAAAATTAGTATTTTTGGTACACTGATATCTGCCACCATGAGTTTGACAGCTTCCTAAGAGCTTTCTGGTATTTGTATAGTGTATTATGGCCGGGCGCGGTGGCTCACGCCTGTAATCCTAGCATTCTGGGAGGCTGAGACTGGCGGATTGCTCGAGGTCAGGAGTTCAAAACCAGCCTGAACAAGAGCGAGACCTCGTCTCTACTATAAATAGAAAGAAGTTAATTGGCCAACTAAAAATATATAGAAAAAATTAGCCGGGCATGGCGGTGCATGCCTGTAGTCCCAGCTACTCGGGAGGCTGAGGCAGGAGGATTGCTTGAGCCCAGGAGTTTGAGGTTGCTGTGAGCTGGGCTGACGCCAGCACTGACTCTAGCCTGGGCAACAGAGTGAGACTCTGTCTCAAAAAAAATTGTATAGTGCATTATGAAATAAGTAAACATTTGTAAGCTTGGTTAAACAATATTTTCCAAATAACTTGTTACAAAGCCACACATGGGTACAAAAAGATACATTCAAAATAAGAAAGATCAATAAATTTTAATATAATAGACTATGAAAAGTACATTGAGATTAATTTCAGGTTCAACACAACTAACACTCAAGAAACTATTACTTGTGGTATCAAAGGAAAAAAATCCACAATTAACTGAAAGGTTATTAAATAGTAGTTAAAATATTCCTCCATTTTTAAATCACACTTTCTGTGCACAGAGATTTTCTTTACATACTTCAGCCAACAAAATATAGCATAACAGATTATATCAGAAGCTGATTTGAGAATCTAGCTATCTTCTATCAAACCAGATATTAGAGATTAGCAAACTCACTTATTTTTATGAAATATAGCTGTTTCATGAAACATAATACTTATGTTATATAGTAACTATATAATGGGTTTATTACTATTATATGGATTCATATTTTTAAGTATCTGATTTAATTTCTAATATGGTAAATATTTTTATATATAAACCATAACCTATTATAAACAAAAGCTCTTTGGGGTCCTCAATGATTTTTATGAATGTAAAAGGGTCCTAAGGCCCAAAAGTTTGTAACCTGTCAGCTAATGCCTTTAGGCTGGTGTTGGAGATCCAGAAGAGAAGTTGATGCAGCCTTTGCATGATGAATCACACAACCCAGCTTAACTAATGAACATACAGGCTGGAAAATGGCCTTAACATTTAAAAGAAAAAAGTGGAAATTGTTACAATAGGAGACTTAATAAAAAATTACAGATTTTACCTAAAGAGGAATATTAATCAAATGTTTTAAAGACTATAATGCACAAGTAGGCATAGACTTATTCTATATATTTCAGATGGCAAATCTAAGATGCATGGGTATTTCAGTGAAATATTTCAGTGAAACATATGAAATATATTTCCTGACCAGCAGAGCTGTGCAACAGCAGCAGCTTCCCAAAAGTCCCTTCGGTCAACAAATATTGTCTATTATGTACCAATACTTACTATATTTGGGGATTCCACCAAGAAATAAGATCCTGCCTTCATGTTGCTTACATTTCAATGTGAGACACAGGCAAACAAACTGTACTGATTCCTGGGTCTGGTAAGTATTCTTATGGAAGGAAATAGACTTTTGTGAGACTGAGGCTGGTAGGGGGCTGTAAGGCTACCACAGGTAGGATGCTCAGAAGTTGTCTCTCTGATGAGGTGTAATATAAGCTGAGACCTGAGAAATAGGGGGAAGCAGCCTATACAGAGAGAAAAGGCCATAAGTGCAAATACTCCATAAATAGAAAAGAATTTGAGAGTATTCAAATTCTTTGAAAGAAGTGTAACTGGAGCACAGTGATACGACATAAAATTGGAGAGGTAGACAACATCCACATAATGTAGAGCACAGTTCTCATCAATAGCATAAATGATGCCACAGATTGATTGATAGATCCGTAGATAGATAGGAAAGGAAGGCAGAAAAAGAACAAAAGAAGAAAGGAATCCAAGATGTGGCATATTCCACAGAAAAAATTGTTCAGAAAGTCTATGTTATTTGAATGAATGAACAGTATGAAGAACATACTGTAGAGCACAGTTCTCATCAATAGCATATTAGACCAACTGTATCAGAATCCCTTCCGGTGGGGCCTAGGAATCACTATTTGTTTTAAGAGTCCTCTGGGTGATGCTAATGTACTGCCTGGGTTAAGAATCACCGATATACAGTCTGTTAGGCTATGATAAGGAGTTTGGATTTCATTTTTAATATAAAAGCAAGCCACTGAAAAGTTAAGAAGGAAATTAGTAGAATCAATATATGGTTTTCGTTTTTAAATTTACTTTATTAAAAGGCCACTCTGGTTGTTATGGGAAGAAGTAGAGAGCAAGAATACAACACTTTTCAATCCTGAAAGTTTTAAGAGATTTAATAAGCATTAATCAGGAAAGATATATGGGGTAAAGGCTTAGTTGGTGATGGCCAATACCAAGAGTATAATTTTCAGAGACACTAAACAAACAATAGGTACAATTAGAGCAAAGAGAAAAGAAAACCTACAAAAGAAGGAACATCCACAGGGGTGAACTATTCCTAAACATACTTTATTAACTTGATAATACAAGTTAATTGGCTAAGTAAGGTATTTATTTATGCCCTTACATTGCCACCATATGTAAATTATATAGCTAAAAACACATTCTTCAACATTTCAAATGAAGGCAGAGAATGGACTTAAAAATTTATCCTCATCTGAGTTGTAAGTCCAATATTTTTACAGTTATATTAACTATCTAAAGATAATGTTTAAAGTTGCTTTGATTTCACCTGGAATATTCTGTTCCTTTCAAACTAAAAATGAAATAATAATAAATTGATACAGAAATAAAGCAATAAAGATTCTAATTAAAAAATGCCTTATATCTTAAAACAATGAAAACTTTATGCTATTTCATCAATTGGTAATTATTATTATTTTTATTTTAGGGTGGGGGTGAGGGAGCAGAGTCTTGCTCTGTTGCCCAGGCTAGCGTGCAGTGGCATCATCATAGTTCATGGCAACTCAAACTCCTGGCTCAAGCGATCCTCCTGCCTCAGCCTCCTGACTAGTTGGGACTACAGGAGCATGCTACTGTGCCTGGCTAATTTTTCCTATTTTTAGTAGAGACGAGTCTTCTCTTGTTCAGGCTGGTCTTGAACTCCTGAATTCAAGGGATCTTCCTGCCTCAGCCTCCCTGTAATCCTGCTAGGATTATAGGTGTGAGCCACTGTGCTGGGCCCTTGGTGATTATTTTTAACCTTTAACTTAAAATCTGAATAGACTCCTATGTTTATGCTTCTTTGCCAGTTTCTTGTCACTTTTCCTGATATGAAGACAACACATCAGATCATTTTAATCTTAGTGCTGTTGCCTTTCCTTTCTAAAGAAGAAAGTGAAACATGCCTGTATCTCTTATAAAAGTAGGAAAACATTTGGCTCCACCTGTCTCATTTATCTTATCCATCTGTTCCCTCTAGGCATTTTGAGTTTGGAAGGCACTAATATAAAATTAGTGAGAAGGCTCTAGTCCTACTTGATTAGTTTTACAGTATATATCTTACCTGATAATACAAATGATATTGCAGATTGTTTCTGTGCTAAAATGGAATATTTGGTAAATTATTTATAATATCAATCATCTTAAACAATAAAAAATTATCTACTAGAAAAATCAATACAAATTCATAGCATTTAATATTTATGCTTAATATATAATAATATGCAATTTTTTTTTAATTACCTTTCAAAAGATGATTCAGGTCCATTGTGTCATGTAAGACTTTTTGTTTACACCGGGAGTCTAAATTGGAATCTAACGCTGAAGACTTTGTGGTGAGATTGGGCCCATGTTTTTCTTTTTCTTTTTTGGCTGATTTTGAATATTTTGATTTAGTTTTTAAATCCTCAACATCTTCATATACTTCTTGACTCACATTTTCTTGCTTTTTAACTTTTACTTTTTGATCATTTGATGCACCCAATTCAAAAGACTGAACAGGGCTGATGTCCGGAGTTGATAAAGGAGTTACATCAGTCACAGTATCTTCAGATTCCTCAGTGTACCCACCAAATTTTGGTTTAGTACTTGAAGGTTGTGTTTCTGTTGATTTTATTCCTGGCTTATCTTTATGTTTTGGTGAAAAACGTGTCACAGTAGATACATGCTTCTTTGATGATGGCTGTGAATCAGATATGCAGTTATCACACCCTGCATCTGAACCATCTGTATCTGAACTTGAAGATGAGGAAGATAAAGAAGAGGAAGAGGAACTAGTTTTGGAATACTTTTTACTAACACTTTTTTTAAAGTTATTAGACAGTTTAGCTGACTTGGACCTTACATGGAGCCTTTTCCCATCATCACTGCTTTCCTCTCCATCTGTGTAGTAATCATCCTCACCTTCTTTTACAATTTTGGGGATTGCATTTGGAATATGTATTTTATGTCCTGTTGTAGAATCATAAAATTTTTTTGATCTTGAAGGAGTCGTCAATGATAAAGAACTTCTGGTTTGTGTAGTATCATTCTCTACTGGGTGGTCTTCTAGGGGGACTTTTGCTTTTCTTTCATTTCCCTTCTCAGTAAGATGATTTTCCTTTGTTTGTACTCCAGTTTGCAAGTTTACATTTTCTGTATCTTTATCTATTATCTCTTTAGGGTCATCATCTTGCTTGTCAAAAACTGAGTTACTTTCACATTTCTTTGCTTCTTCAAAGTCACTGTCAAAGAAAGAATGGTCCACTTCACCATCTGATATATCTTCGAACCGATCCATGATGGCAAAAATATATCTGCAAAGGAATAAAATGTAACTATCAGACTAAACAGTAATTTGCAAATGCTTTTCATTTTTATATAGTAATTACATAATTTTCTCAAACTAAGAAATCTGATTAATGTATAAAGAGAAACATTACAAAACAAAACCAAAACCAAAAAACTCAGTGAAGTAACGATGTGGCTTTCAGGGTAATAATAAGTTGTGCCAATTTTCTGAAATATAAGTAAGTCTAATAGTTTAAGTTCACAAGAAAATAATAATAGATCATCAAGGCAAGGATATCACAAACATAGATAGCAAGTGGAACCCTAAGGAAAATCTGCCTTCTATAAATTAAGTACAATAAGATTTTAGAATAAGAATGGAGTTAAAACCTTCTAGGATTAGCTAAGCCAGCCCAAACACACATTATTCTAGTAGAAGTAGTGCAATGAAGATTTAACATTTCAGTTCTTGCTATCCTATTCTGTTCCTTTGCTGCAGTTAGTAAAGAAGGACCAGAAAGGAGGAGATAACTTCTGTTAAATGTAAAAATTCCTGCTGTACCTTCTTAAACAGGAACAAAAACACTAAGGCACATTTACAGGTTGCATAGGTAGCTTGGAGTCAACTTCTGAGTATTTAATCATAAACTGTAATACAATCAGACACAGAAGATGACACGAGAAGACCATATATGTGTCACTATGCTAAAATGGGTCTGTCATAAGAGATTTCATAACACAAAACCAACAGCTGACTAAAATAGAATAATCAAGGCATATTATTTAGACACAAGGAGTTAAATATTAGAAGAAATGGATAAAAATGTTCAAAGTAGTTGCCTATCGTGGGGCAGGGACCACTGTTTTTGTTATAGACCTTAAATTACTAGTTGACCTATAAATTCATGTATATACTACAATGATAAAAAATTAAAGTTTACTTAAAATATTTTAATACTTCATATAGTAGAAATTAAATCAGAAACATCACTATAAAGACATAACCTTTAAAAATATCTTTCTATCTCTGCTGTTACAATGATCTAAGCAGCAGTGTACATTATCTATAACTGATAATCTTGAGTTCAGAGTTGGACCTCTAATAGTATTCTCTATCCACTTAAAAAATAAAAAACCCCAGGACTCCCTAGAAGGCAGATGATTCCATTTCCAGAGCAAAAGAAAAAGAGCTGGAAGCCTCTTATTGTTGCCAGAAAACACAATATTCAAATATGCTTAGGGTAGTGGTAATGAAACAAAGAATCCATTTAAAGGGGCTTCCACTGCTCAACTTTGACAATTTAGCACTGAAAAACAAGAAAGAAAAAAAAGTACCTAAAAATGAAAAAATAATTCTATGGACAGCCATGAGTCCATGATGACATCTAAGAGTGACAAATCATATGAACTATGTTAAAGGAAAGGAAAAGCTATGCTCCAATGATAATATATAGCCAACAATGCAATTATGTGCTTACTAGGTTCATATTATAATTAATTCTATTTTATAACAAATCAGTTGGTAAAAGATTATGTAATTTGTATTCTAAACCAGATATAATACTCTGCAGCCTTTAATTGCTTAAGTGGCCCTGCAACCTAAGAAAGATATAAAAACAAGTACAGATATGATTTTGAAATTAATCAAACTTGTATTATTATTAAAATGATAGGTTAATATGATAGATTCAGGTATGTGTGGCAATACATTTTATCATCATTGGATAATTCTGTCTGTCTTTGAGGCTTCGATGAATTTAAGAGATTCTAAAGTAGTAGATTTATAAAAATTTAACTGTTTATAATCTATTTTTAAATGCTTCAGGGAATCTGAATGATTAATTCAGTAAGTTTAGACTTAGTACGTTTATAAACAGTATCTAAGTGATTAGGAAGATATACTTTGTAAGATTTTAAGTGTCCTTGTCAGGTGTTTGAGGTACTTAAGAAAATCAAATATAATAAAAAAATTGTACTATTAATCAAGTTTGCAAATGGTATACAATGTTCAAGGAAATTTAATATATTTTATAATCTAAGTGAAGATTAACTCAAATATGAGTGAGTTTTTAAATTCTAACACATGTAAGTAGATCTTAAAATTTAAGAAACAGAATATAAAATTTATACCTAATATTAAAATGAAAAATGTATTACTTTCCATAGCATAGATTAATATCCTCTTCACATTTTAAAATTCAAATTGACAGCCTCCTTCCCAAATCCTCAAAGAAAGATACTTAATAAGGTTTTAGGCATCCTGTTTATCCACATAGAAATCAAAGTCTGTTCTCTCAGGTAATTTATAAAAACTGAAACTTGTCTCTCTTTAATTAATTTTTGAAGCCTAAAAACTATAAACCCTTTGAATCAGTAACTTCACTTCTGGAAATTCATCTTAAGAATGTAACACTAAAAGCGAAATGGTATTAATTACACCATTACTTGTAATATTGAAAAAACTTGTATAGAAAAGTATGATTCCATCAAAATAATTATTTAGATTGGGGATCAGCAAACTACTATCTATGGACCAAATCTGGCCTGCTATCTGTTTTTGTAAATAAAGTTTTACTGGAACACAGCCCCACTCATGGGTGTAGGTATTGCTTCTGACAGCTTTCACACAACTGCAGAGCTAAGGAGTTATGACAGAGACCCTATGACCCACAAAGATGAAATATTTGCCATCTGACCCTCTACTGAAAAAGTTTGTAGACCCCTGACTTAGATGACATATCAACTTGAAAAATACAGAATACAAAATTGTTATCTATACTGGATCAATAATACAATTTCTACATTTAAACAAAAATTAGGGGGGAAAGAGGTAGAAATGAAGAGTTAATCTATTAAAAAAAAAAAAACCAATCCCACTGAATTTTTTGTATTTCCATAATAGTGTCTGTGCCATAAATTAAGCAAATAAGTGATGAATGGAAGTCTGCTCAGCGTTTGAAAAAGAACTGAGTCAGACACACCCAGGCTCAAAACTTGATTCTGCCACCTGCAAATGGTTTCATAGCATAGCCCAGAGCAATACTTTGCTCTGGTCACAACCCAGTGTAAAATCAATTCAGTAGGTCACATCAATCACTAAACCAAGGAAAACAGTAGAATATACTATAATAATCAAGAGTACATTAAACATAAAAGTAACATTTCATGAAACTTTTGTTTGTTACTTAAATGCATTATGTGTTCTAGTCCTTGATATAAAAACTATTTCTTACTGAGGGTCTCAATGAAGGGTTTGAAATGCCACTGGTCTATGGATATGAGAAACTGTCATCAAAAGGTAATGTACTATAATGGATATATGAAGATGGAATGGAAGTTTAAACTTTGGGTGGTACTAGAGACAGTGTTAAGTGTCACAGGTAATATTACATTATCTGGCCGGGCGTGGTGGCTCACGCCTGTAATCCTAGCACTCTGGGAGGCCGAGGCGGGCGGATTGCTCGAGGTCAGGAGTTCAAAACCAGCCTGAGCAAGAGCAAGACCCCGTCTCTACTATAAATAGAAAGAAATTAATTGGCCAACTAATATATATAGAAAAAAATCAGCCGGACATAGTGGCACATGCCTGTAGTCCCAGCTACTCGGGAGGCTGAGGCAGAAGGATTGCTTGAGTCCAGCAGTTTGAGGTTGCTGTAAGCTAGGCTGACGCCACGGGACTCACTCTAGCCTGGGCAACAGAACAGAGTGAGACTCTGTCTCAAAAAAAAAAAAATATTACATTATCTGGACAGATTCTGCTCTGCTAGTGGATTAAGGCCATACTGGAATGAATCAGGATCTGGAGTTTAACAAATGTTGTAATTTAAATTAAAAATAAGGAAGGAATGTTTTCTTAAAATTTGAAGAAACTGATATCAGAGAAAATTATTTAACTATAAAAGTGGATGATTAATTATAATGTCTGAAGAAATGAAGAGATACTAAGAATAATGAAAGAGCAATTTTCATTTTACTAAGACATAACAGAATTATAAGTTGCTATGAAAGCTTTGCCCAGAATTAGTATATTATTATATAAACTTATTAACAGACAATGTCTCTTTTTGATATTACTAGAAATATACTGATAGAAAAAATTAAGTTTTTCTAGTCAGTTAAAAAAAAAACTTAAAAATATAAATCAACCATCCAAATCATTCCAATCCATATCACTGTTAATAAATTGTTTAAATATTAAGGAAATAAAATGACTAGCATAAGTCAGTCTCACTTGTATTAGTGCAATATGCTATTCTACTACTAATAGCTAAATGTACTGAGTATTTACTACACGCTAGCACTGCTCCAAGTGCAGCTTTAAGGTTTTATCATTCTCATTTACCAATGAGGAAACTGAAGCAGAGAAAGAACTTACAAAAGTCACACAGCTACCAAGGGGCACAGCCAGGATTCTAAAGCAGGCATACTTTAGGGATCATGTTATTAACTACTGTTCTATTCTGCTTCTCAGGATGGTCCTTCATAAAATTAGATACTGAGATTTTTTTTTTTTTTTTTGCTTTTACACATTGTGTTATCTATGATTTATTTGATGGCAAACAGTGGGCAAGATAAAACCCTCCCAAAACTTTTAAAAGAAAAATGGGACCTGTTTAGCAGTATGATTTTAGGAACTGTTGCTAAAAAGAGTAGTTTGTACAGTCAACATTAGATATACATGCCAGTGCTTGACACACATTTTGCTGGATGTTATGTGCCACGTAGCAGTTTTCCTCTAACAAAGTAAACTGGAACAAATCTCATTGGTGTCACAAATTAAATAAGCCAGTTACCCTGGGTAAATTAAAAAGCATTACCCTAGGTAACAAGAATTTAGAACTCTGAATTAACCAGTGACTATCCCAATCTGACCGTGTGACCAAACTCTTTCCCAAAATAATGAATTCCAAAGGTATTTCTGGCAAGGAGAGTGACAATTCTGTAAGTCGCTAAACTTGAAATGTTTCCAGCATGCCTGATTTTTATGTATGACACAGCACAAGAATTTCCCTCTTAGTGATCCCTGGTAACCTTGAATGAGACCCAGCTAAAGTTCCTCATGATGGTGTATGGTGCATAAGTGTTAGCGCTAATAATCCTCTTCTCAACCCCTATCCTCACAGTTCCCTAACAATCCTGAAAGGAAAAGACTTCAACCCCCTTGCATTAAGAATGAAGAAACTCGGCCAGGCACGGTGGCTCATGGCTGTAATCCTAGCACTCTGAAAGGCCAAGGTCAGGAGTTCGAAACCAGCCTGAGCAAGAGTGAGACCCTGTGGTGGCACATGCCTTTAGTCCCAGCTACTTGGGAGGTTGGGGCAGGACGATTGCTTGAGCCCAGGAGTTTGAGGTTGCTGTGAGCTAGGCTGATGCCACAGCACTCACTCTAGCCTGGGCAACAAAGTTGAGACTCTGTCTCAAAAAAAAAAAAAGAATGAAGAAACTAAGGCATGGCACATCCAAGTGACTTGACCAATTTCCATTACTAGTTTGTGGCAAGTCTGCCTTTTATGACTTTGAGATTTGTCAAACTTGTAAATAAAAGAAAGCTGAGATGGACAGGTGAAGCACTCAAGATAACAATGCTAGAAAGTAGAGTCAGGACTGGAAACCAGGCAGTCTGGCTGCAGAATCAGCACTCCTAATCATTATGCTACATTGAAACAAGCAGAGTAAAATTAATAAGCCAAAATCTTAGATAGAGAGATATTCCAGAACAGCTAAAATAATAGCACAATAATTGCACAGATACAGAATAGAGGAAGGTAAAAAGGGAAGGTACATTGAAGACCTCAGCTTAAAAAAAGAAGGTTCAGTTGAAAAAGATCTGAAACTCACCACGTGGCAAAAGTATAACTTGGAAACCAAAAAACTAGTATTTATAAAGTCATATCGGAATAGCAGTATACAGGCTAAAACAAGTTGCATTATATTCTACGTGGTCAAATGATTTCTTGAATGAAGATTTCCTTCTGGGTCTAGAAGGAAAGAGTGAAGAGTCTAGAATCTAAATCATGATAAATAGTTCAAAGAACAAAGATCTCATAGTGAGTAAAAATAATGACTACAAATATGTTCAAATACTTTCCTATCAGGACTGTAATATGCAAAAAGATTACAGGCCTCTTATTTGTGGTTCCAAGGTAGAAGTTGCATTAATACATGCAGTGCTTACAAAACCTGTCATGAGCTTAACGTAAGTACTGTTCAAAAGTGGAATGGGCTACTTTCTAAGATTCTGAGCCCCAGGTTACTAAACACTCTACAGCAAAGACTGGAGAATCACTTGTTGGGCTGCTGCATTAGGAGGATATATGATCTTTCTCAACCCTGAACTAGGTCTTAATCCCAAAGTATCCCTAAACTATCAAACAGCATTACATGATACAGAGAAATCTTTCATGAAAGGAGGAGTCAATCTGATGCAGCAAACTTCTTTGTTGTCTTAAAGAAATTGCCACAGCCACCCCAACCTGCAGCAACCACCACCCTGATCATTCAGCAGCCAGCAACATGGAGGCAGAATCTCCACCAGCAAAAAGATTATGACTTGGCCGGGCGTGGTAGCTCATGCCTGTAATCCTAGTACTCTGGGAGCCTAAGGTTGGAGGAACGCTTGAGGTCAGGAGTTTGAGACCAGCTTGGGTAAGAGCAAGACCCCCATCTCTACTAAAAATAGAAAGAATTTAGCTGGACAACTAACAACAGAAGAAAAAAAAAAATAGCCTGGCCTGGTAGTACACCCTATAGTACTACCTACTCAGGAGGCTGGGCAGAAGGATTGCTTGAGCCCAGGAGTTTGAGGTTGCTGTTGGCTAGGCTGATGCCACCACGTTACTCTACCTCAGACAACAGAGGTAGACTCATGTCTTAAAAAAAAGAAAAAAAGAAAAAGATTATGACATGCTAAAGGGTCGGAGGATTGTTAGCTTTTTTTATCAACAATGTAGCTTTTTTTATCAATAAGGTATTTTTTAAATTAAGGTATGTATATTGTTTTTTAGATATGTTATTGTACACTTACTTAACATAGTATAGTGTAAACATAACATTTATATGCACTGGGAAACCAAAATATTCACATGGCTTGCTTTATTGTGGTGCTCTAGAACCTAACTTGCAATCTCTCAGAGGTTTGCCTGCAGAAAGAACTGTTTACTTTCCCACAGTATACAACCCCTAGAGGTCTAAAACCCTTTTTTCCTTTGTTTTGTCATGCTTCCACAATTTACTGTCCTTTGTTAAAAATTGTATAGAAATTCTCAGGCCTATCAGCTTCTTTGGGTCTTCACTTCTTTCCTAGGAAAGGCCTGTGTCTGTAAAAATTAATGTCATATAAAATTTGTATGCCTTTTCTCCTGTTAATCTGTGTTATCAGTTTAATTTCCAGAGCCCCAGCTATAGAACCTAAGAGAGTATAGAGGAACTTTTTTTCTTCTCCCCTCCTCTACACTTGTCTCATTACCAAACTGGAGCTCCTGATGTTGTGCTCATCTTTATAACCTTCAGTGCATAAAGGAGGACCTGACAAACAGTCAAACAATGTTTACCTGACAAAGGAGTCTGGAGTTAGGAGATTTAAGATTGAGCCCTGGTTCTGCTCTCTGCTTGCTAGGTAGGCAGAAAATCACCTCATTTCCAACCTGGTTTCCTTGATAGTTTCCTGTTCTCCTCCCTCACCCCTCCACACACACACACACCAGAACCATCTCCTTCTGTTTCCACAGTACAGTCACGCAGTCCCCAAGAGTTGTAAGCCACCTGCATCCCTAAGTTGTAGCAGTTCTTGAGAGGTGGTACAGAGAGTCCGGTGCCTGGGAGATTTTTCAGGTGAAATTTAGGTTAATAGTATCCAAAAGATAGGGATATTATAAGGATTTAAACACTCAGGTGGTTTAACTTAATTTACAGTAAAATTTATCCAACAATCCCATCCACTAAGCAATCCTTTTGATAACTTTCACTTCAAAGTGAGTGAGACTCAACTTACAGAATAAGCAAGAAAATGGTGGCTTAACAAGGTAGTTAAGATTTTCTTCACAGCACTTTGGGAAAGGATAAAATTAAAGGCCAGTTCATAAGACCATTATAATTCTCTGGTGCTCAATCAAGACAGGTTCTTGCCAAAGCTGCCTGGGAGTCACTTGGACACACATCACTTGTATAGCTCATGCAGAACCGCCAATAGAAATACCAGTGCTTTCACTACACATTTTTAAAGTTAGATAAACAGTATAAAAAAGCCTCAATAAGATATCCAACTTGGTGCATGACAGTCTCAGCCCACCTGTTTTCCAGAACTCGAGGCTCTGTTCGCGACCCCCTCCTGACCTCGGGAGACAGCAGAAGATAAATGACAGCTCCTCAGGCCTGGGGTTCGCGTACGCGGAGATGGGCGGGAGCAGTCACAGCCCTGTGGGCGTCGCCACCACAACTCTACTTAAAGCCGATCCCGGCCCCAAGGCCCCACGCCACCCCGCACTCGTCTGGGGGGCGGGACAGGCCGTTTTGCTCCGGCCCCAGCGACCCGCCGGCCGCAGGCCCCGACGCCTTTGTTGTAGTTACACCGGCCGCCTGAGGGGCTGGCCCGGCTGAGAGGTGGCTGGGCGGAGGGCAGGGGCCCCGGCGGGCTCCTCCTTCCCGCCTCCCGCGCAGGCTTCGTTATACCAACCCCGAGTGCTCGCCGCCGCCTGGGTTCCGGAGGGGGAAACGGATGCCGAACGGAGAGGACGCTGGCGGGCGCGCCGCGGCCGGGGACGCAGCAGCGCCCGCGCGACGCTCGCCCGCGAGCCGAGGCCTCTGCCCCTCAAGCGGCGCCCGCGACTGGGGCCCTGACTAGCGCGCACGCGCCGAAGCGCTCCGGCAGCCCTGCACGCGGCCCGGGTGCGGCAGACTCGCGCTTCCGGAGGCGGAGAGGACGGAAAGGGAGAGGAGGGGCAGCGGGAGGCGCAGGGGCTTCGGCAGGGGTGGGGGCGCACGCCGGGCTCGCGCCGCTGCGCTCGGGCGTCACAGAGCCGGTGGGCCGCAGGCGGGCTCCAGGAGCGCCGACGGAGAGGTGAGGAGACAGAGCCATCGGTGCCTGACTGCCTCTTCCTGCTTCCCTGTTGAGGGCAGCGCGGGGAGGCCTAGTTGCTACGGTAGTTTAATGGGGAAAGCTGCTTTATTGTCTCGTCATTTCTTTACTAAAATAACAATGGTAGAGCCGGGCGCGGTGGCGCGCGCCGGTTGTCCCAGTTACTCGGGACGCTGAGGCGGGACAATGGCTTGAGCCCAGGAGTTCAAGACTAGCCTGGGCAACATAGCGAGACTCCGTTTCAAAAGAAAAAGAAAATCAAAACAATAATAAAAACGGAGGGTGGCTGTGTCTGTGATATTTTATATCAGCAAAGTTCAGTTCACACAACTAGTTTATTCCATGGACCAGGGACTGGTAACACGTTAGAAAGTCATTGGCCTGTTGGCAAATGAGGTACGCAGTTAAGGCAATCTAAGAAAAATGATCCCTGCAGAATATACTGAATGTCATAATTTCCCATTGTTGAATTTTAAAGCACATATTAGGTGTGGTAGAATAATGGCAGCCCTAAAGTGTCCACCTCCTGATCCCCAGAGCACAGGGCCATGTTACCTTACATGGCAGACAGGATCTAGCCGATAAAATTAAGGATCAAAATGGGAATATTAGCCTGGATTATCCGGTGGACCCAATGGGATGACCACACAAAGGATTGGAGTGATGTGAGGCAGAGGCAATGAGCCAAGGAATGCAGGTATCCTCTTGCAAGCTGAAAACCGGAGGAAACAGATTCTCTCCTGAAGTGTTGGGAAGAAACTCAAGCCTGCAAATACCTAGATTTTAGACTTATGACGTCCACAACTGTAAGACAATAAATTTGTGTTGTTTTAAACTACTAAATTTAATAATTTGTAATAATTTAGTAATTTGTCATAGTAGTAATAGCACACTAATACACAATTGTTTACATGAAAGTGCAAAGCAAGTAAGTATGGGTTTAATCCTATCCCATAGAGTAAGGAATTGTCTCTATTTTTGTTCTTCACCGTGGATTTTGTACTTGTTCATCTTAATTACCAAAAGTACAGAGAATCCTGTATTCTAAAGAAAGGGTTTCACTTAATTCTGCTTGATAAAATTATGCTGGCGCTACTTCTCAGGGATAGTTGTCTACCCTGTGGTCAAAAGTTTATACAGTAAAAATATGGTATAATAAAAATAGGGAAAAAAAGTTTATAAAGGACTTGAGTAGATATTTCTCGAAAGAAGCTATAGAAATGGCCAGCAAACACAAAAGATATTCAATATCACTAATCATTGGTGATAATGCAGTCGCTAATCATTGCATTAGGGAAATTCAAGTTAAAACCACAATAAGATACCACTTCACAACCACTAGGATGGCCATTATAAAAAAAAAACAAACAGTAACAAGGATTGGCAAAGAGGTGGAAAGATTGAAACCCTCATGCACTGTTTGTTAGAATGCAAAATAGTGTAGCAGCTGTAGAAAATGGTATAGTATGTCCTCAAAAAATGGAACATAGAATTATATAACCCAGCAATTCTCTTCTGGATATATACCCAAAAAGAATTGAATGCAAGGTCTCAAACAGATATTTGTACACCAGTGTTCATAGCAGCATTATTCACTATAGCCAAAAGGTAGAAACAACCCAAGTGTTCATCAACAGATAAACAAAATGTGGTATATGCATACAATGGAATATTATTCAGCTTTGAGACCTGTGTTGCTCTGACTGCGCATTACAACATAAAGATGTTCTGCAAGACATACAGAATGGAAGGTGTGCTAGTGTTCTCCAGAGAGACAGAATAGGACAGATACACAGGTAGGTAGATACTGGCTTATTTGATTATGGAGGTTGAGAAGTCCCACAGCAGGCAGGCTAGAGACCTTGGGATACCATTGGCATGGCTCAGACCAGTTTGAAAGCCTCAGAACTAGGGAATTGGATGGTGGAACTCTCAGTATGAGGCTGAAGACCTGAGAACCCAGGCGCCAGTGGTGTAACCTGGAGTCCAAAAGCCAGAGAGTCTGGAGTTATGATGTCTAAGGGCACAAGAGTATATCCCAGCTTCAGAGAAGAGAGGAAACTGCCTTTTTGTTCTGTCTGGGTCCCCAGCTGATTGGATGGTGCCCACCCTTATTGAGGGCAGATCTTCCCCACCCAGTCCACTGTCAAACACCATTCTCCTTTGGAAACATCCTTACAGATACACCCAGAAATAATCCTTACCAGTTCTCTAGATAATACTTAATCCAATCAAATAACACCTAAAATTAACCCTTATCTTACCTCACTTCTCATTGTTCCTCAAACCATGCATGGGATAGAGGCCCAGCTAATATTTGCTAAAGAAATGGATGAAGTGTTAGTGCTGACTTAGCAATATATTTCTCCAAAGAAGATATACAGATATGCTTTGAGGAAGTTTTCAGACCATGGGTTTACATTTTTCTAGATCTACATTACTCTTGAAACCAATATGCTAGTGTATTGGAAAGACCGTGGTCTTAAGAGTTAGAGGCCTGCAATTCTCAATGTTAGACCGGTTTCCTTTTTACTGCTACAAGTTATGATCACAAAGCAACAAACCTACACTTTTTTTTTTTTGGAGACAGTCTTGCTCATGTCACCCCCACTAGAGTGCAGGGGCATCATCATAGCTTACTGCAACCTCAAACTCCTGGGCTCAAGTGATCCTCTTGCCTCACCCTTCCCAGTAGCTGAGACTACAGCAGGCACACTCCACTTTTTCTATTTTAGTAGAAATGGGGGTCTCCCTCTTGCTCAGGTTGGTCTGGAACTCCTGACCTGAATCTATCCTCCCACCTTGGCCTTCTAGAGTGCTAGGATTACAGGAGTGGGCCACCACACCCCACCAAACTAAACACTTTTAAGTATGGAATACAAGTGTTGGGCTCCTGAATTTAAACCTTGTTTTTTCTCCTCTGTAATATGAGATGACTAAATCACAGAGTTCTTAGGGAAGCATCGTGGCATAGCGACTAAATGCACAAGCTCTGAAGCTAGACCACGTGGAGTGATAACCAAATCCTGGCTTTATTATTTATTAGCTTTGTAACTTGGAGCAAGTTATTTCACCTCCTGTGCCTCAGTTCCCCATATGTTGATGGAATTAACAGTGTCAGGGTTGTTGTGAAGATTCAATGAAGTATGTTTAGTGCTTAGAACATTATCTGACACACAGTAAGTGCTTGATTAGTTACTAGTTCTGTGAACTAGAGTTTAAATTGGAAAATATATAAAGCCTTCAGGATACAGCCCCTGGCATGTAAATGATCAAAAAATATTGATATGATTGTAGGTGATAGCAAGCTACCATGCTTTATTTGAAATAATTTGGATTTGTAGCGTATACTTTGAGGCCCAATGGGACAAAAATTAGCAACTATTTTAGAGGCAAAAGAGCTTCTTCAAAATCAGTTATACTGCTTTATTTTTTTTAAGAAAAAGATAGGAAGGTAGCAATTGGCCTGGTAAAGTCACATCTAACATGAGGTACTCATTATCTCATTTTTGATTTGCAAGGCTTAGGAGAGAATGAAGTGCCCCATGAATACCAGTTAATATTAAAAACAAAAGATGCATCTGCTGCTTTATTGGTCTCACCACTAATTGCCAGTGTTTATGGAGCATATTGACATCTATCTTCTCAGCAAGCATAATGTAGATATTACCAGCTGGGACTATGATAGAAGAGGCAAATATGTACTCTAAAAATTGGACCACTTTTCTTTGCGTGGGCAATATCATTTGTACTGAATAATTGGCAAACACACACACACCCCAAAACCACAAATGGAGCCAAAGTAGCTGCATACGCCCAGTGGCACCAGCCAGACTTCTTCGGACCTTTCCATAACTAGGAATCGCAGGATTCAATCGCAGTACTCCTCCACATGTGTCTCATTCCTTACCTAAGGAGGCAGGGTGGGAAAGGGAAGGTTGTTAAAAAGAAACTGCTCAAAGTGAGGATCAGGAACGGTTGCCTATTTAATCTAAAGAGCAGGTTAAAACAAGGCAGAAATTTTGTGGGCAATAAGCAAGGCAAGGAGGTTACTTGTCCGTGGTGAGCGGAGAGCGAGAATTAAGGGATCACCTGAGCTGGAGTATCACAAATGCTTCTGACACCTGCAGCAAAATTTTCCATTAACAGACGGGAACCTGGGGGGAGGTGGGGAGGGAGGAGCGCGGGAACCAGCAGTTTCCTCGGCCTTCGGTCGGGCCCCTCGGGTGAAGCCTGCCCGGCGGACCCCGCCCCGCGCCGTGGGTGGGTACCTCCCAGCTGTCACTCAGCGGCCGCCGCCGCTCTCCGCCCCCACCCTGACACGCACTGCGGGGCAGCTCCCGCCCCGCGTCAGGCTTTGCCCGCTTCAGTCACAACACGGGCCGGCTACCTGGGCGCGTGCGGCCCGGTAGCTGCAGGCCCGGCGCCGGCTGGCGGCGCTGAGGGGTCGCCGGGAGCAGCTCGGCGGCGTCTGTGAGAGCCGCTCCCTCGGAGGGCCGCCGGCGAGGGCATGAGCGCGGGCTCCCTCTGCCTCCGGAGCGGCGGCGGGAGCGGCCAGGGGAGGAGGCGCCGCGCGGAGGCCACCGTCCAGGGCAGCGCCAGGGGACAGCAGGGCAGGAGATGTGCCTGTCCTTAGCCGCACAGGAAGCAGCATGCACCCCGATGTCACCCACAGCAGCGGCGCCGGCCTCAGCCCCGCGTCGGCCTCAGGCGTCGGCAGCCGTCCTGCCCCGGGCTCTGGGGCCGAGCGGCGGCCGGAGCCCCCGGGGGACGCGGAGGCGGCGGCGGCGGCGCCGAGGGGCCCAGGCAGCTGGGGCTGGCGGGTGCCAGCGGCCCTGGCTGCGCTTGCCGCCGTGGCCCTCTCCTTCCTGGGGCCCGGCTGTTGGCAGGCGGCGGGGCCGTGTACCGTCCTGTTCAGGCTCAGCCTGTACCTGAGCGGCGCCGCGGCCGCCTTCCTGCTGGGGACCCTAGTCGCCCTGGTCTGCCGGAGCCCACCAGCCGCGCCGCCCGACTTCACCGCCGCCTGGAGCCGGCTGGCGGCGACCACGGCCGCCCGCCGCCCGCCCGGAGTAAGTACGAGTCTCTGGGATGCCTCGCTCGCCCGCGGCCTCTGCCCGGCCCTCCCCGCTTCCGGTGCGAGCCGCCCGCTCCCGGGGACCTAGGTGGCCGTGGCGTGCCCTCCTTCGGGCCCGGCTCCCCTCCTCGAAGCTGGAAGCCGGAGAGCTGTGGGGCTGGGCTGCGTGGGCCCGGCGGGGGGACGCGAGCGGTCCCTCGCCCCCGAGGGGCTGGCTCTGGGGGGGTTGCCGAGATGCGCTTTATTGGGCTCTGTAGTTACTCCGCCGCCATCCTCAGTCCCAGCCGTGAGAGCTGAGGAGTCATTCCAGATCTTCGATGTTTCTGTGCAGTTAGAGTGGCAGGAAGGGGACACGGCAGTTGCCGTGGGCAGGCACTGCACTCGGTATTGGTTATCGCATCTGGTTCTTCTGGCCGTTCTCGGTGGGAGGTAACTTTATGACCGTTTGCAGATGAGGAAACTTGGTCAGGTCACCCACCCAGCCCCTCACCCCAAGCCGGTGTGCACTTCTTACACACCATGCTGCCTCCCACCATGTTGACGAGTAGGAACGCAGTCCCGGCTGGCTTCTGTGATTTGGAAAAGGATGCCAGAAAACACTGTAGTTCGCAGCAAAAGAAAAGCTCTTCTCAGTGCGGTATGGGACATCAGGGCTGTGGTTAGAGAATACAGGATAGAACAGTATTTTAAATGAGCTCTGTTCTTCTTCAGTGCCGAGCCCACTAGTTCGTCTACCTCCCTCCCAGCTTTTCTCCTAACCTTTTAAAAGGAACTTTGTTCTATCGTAGCTTGACTCTCACTACTTGACTGATACCATCATTAAACTGAAATTGCCCAAGCGCTTTGAGGTAAGGGAATTGGCAGTAGCTCAGCTTCATAAGAATATTTGTTAGCGTGAGCATTGTCCCCAGGGTTTGTATTTGCTTGGTATTTCATCTGCTTACTCCTATGTAAAAAAGCATCACACGTCACCCAAATTACTCTTTCCAAGTCTCAGTTCAGAATGCAGCAGTGAGATGATGGCGGAAGGGTTGTAGGTAAGGCAGGCATCTTCACTGGTAAGGTTGATTAAGTAATTCAGTATATTAAGGCACTGGGAAACTTTTGTTTCCATAAGTAGTCCCCCAAATTAGTGGTTTGTTTGTCTTAAAAGTCTTTACTTTAGCTGTCCATTTTTTTTTCATATTTAATTTATGAGGAGTTGGTGAGCAGATGTATTTTTCCTCTAGCTTTTTTTTTTTGTAATGATAAGGACCCTGAAATTTTACTAGTTGGTTTATTGATATCCCAGTTCTTGAGTCTTGTAAGAAGTTATAATTCATTCAGTCCATATTTATTAAGCATCTTGTATGAGCCAGGTTCTCTTGTGGTGTTGAATCAATAAGACATGTAAATATCCTGGTCTCTGGAGATTACATTCTTGTGTGGGACTAGGCAGTAAATAAATAAATGCAATACTGTGGGATAGTGATAAATGCTTCTGAAACAAAAAGGGATTAAGAGTTAAGTGATTAAGATGGACTAGTAGTAGGTGGGGGAAGAAAGCATAAAGAGTGAAGTCAAGATCAAAATCATGGTCTTGCAGTGAACCTCTGAGAGCCTTGGAAGCCTCATAATTGTGGGTTGCTACCCTCTTCCCTGGAAAATGCATGCTCCTGAATCTCCTAGCTCACTTGCTCTCTGGATAGGTAAAACTGGGATTGTCATCTACAAAGATGGCTTAGTAGAGAAATTAGAGAAAACAGTACTTTAAAGGTGGCAGAGAAAATGAAGCATTAAATGTAATCTCTCATGTATACTATTCGAAGATTTTAGGTAATAGAAGAGGTGAAGTATAATCTAAAAGAAAGTAATTATTAGTCACTGTTTTTGAACTTCCTACAGAAGCTTTAAATAAGAAAATAAGTGCGTTAGGAAATTACTAAGTTATATATTATTTATAATTGAAATGCATGTTCTTCACATAAAATTCTATTTTCTTTGTAGTACTGGTGCTATTTACTCAAGCTTGTAGTTGTGCTATATCTCCAATATTTTTCTGTGTGTTTTAATGTTCTCTTTATGAATGAAGGCTGGGAAGCATAAGCATGTGGTGTAGTATAAAATATCTACAGTCAGTTCTGTGGGGGTGGGAGCTGGACTACATAGGTCAACTAACATATGTGGAGAGGGAGGCTGTTTAACAGTGAACCAAATGGAGCCTCTTAGAATAACAGTGACTACTACAGAAATTTGGATTCAGCGTGAAGAAAAGAATCCTCGTTTATTCTTGTACATTTTGAATTCTAGTGGGAGCTAGACATGTTAGACATTGGGTCCCATCCTTCTATCTATGTATCATTCCTTCCTTCCCCTTTTTTTTCTTCTTGCTGCCTTCTGTAGAACAAAAAATGAATACACTATTAAAAGTGGCAACTAGAGAAGCCTAAACTAAAAGGGAAAAGGTATTTTCATTTCTGGAGGTGTTCAAGTGCTTTTGAATGCCTCACTTCACAGTGGATAATTCTCAATTGTGAACTCCCTGTGGTTGGTTAGGACCTATGATTGATACCTTTTGTTATCCCTCACACCTAGTAGGAGCTCAAGAAGTGCTTGCTGATGATAATGAAGAAAATTATGTCTGCCTGTGGCCACTAAGTGCTTTTTCTCTCCAATTTACCTAGTATCTATTAGGCATCTCTTATGCACATGGATTTTAATTTCACTTGGAATCACTATTGATTAAAATAGTAAACATAATTTCCATTCCAGATAGAAATTTCCTCCCAGACATCAAGTGGTATTTTCAGATAATAGGGAAGCTTTTGTGTAAGGTTAGAAGGTTGATGCTAATGCTTTGATAGTTGATATCTGGGTCCGATTTTAGGAAAACTAGAACTCAGTTACAGGTCAGCAGACTGAAGCTGTGATGCTGTGGGGCCTATCTACCCCTGTTGTGACAGTTGTTAGTCCAGCTTTGCTGAGCGGGCTGTTATAGTGTGGCATTCCTAATCTAAGGTTGTCCTTTGGTCTTCTGCCAGGCCAATTAACTCATCTGGGTCTGAGCCTCAGATTCACTAACCACAGTTACTTTACCCCAGCACATGATCCAACCAAGGCAACAGCAAGAGAAACGGGGCAAGAGTGAATCAGTAGTTTAGAAAAATTTATTAATATCACAAGACCAGCAATTCAAAGTGCATCTTCTCATAATGGAAAAGAGGAAAATATTTCTTACATTTTGATGATAGGATGGTAAAGAGAGAATAACTTGTCAGTTTTTCTGTCACATAAGCCTATGCATTTTTCTCTTTTCTCTTACACTGTAGTTTACTAGATACTTCTTGATATATGTCCCATAAGTTCAAAAATAAATAAGCTCTTGATAACAGTCGTGATGAAAAATAAAAAAACAACTAAAAAGCAATTAATGAAGCTTGGAGGGCTGAAATAAGAAAGTCCATGAAAGTTGGGTGCATATGGGTTACTAAAGACCACTGCCATGTGAAGAAAACATTAATGAAAGACTTTGAAGTTTAGCCATAGAAGTTTAAGAAGTTCATGAGATCTGATTAGTAAGCATTTACTGAATATCTGCTACCTACATCATACTCTGATCTTGTTAGATAATTTTTTTACTTAGTTCCTAAGTGCCAGTGCCAGGCACATAGTATGCTGTCAATAGATGGATTTTGATCAGAACAATTTTAAGTGTCTAAGTGACATTTTTAGGTGTGAAATTTCCATGACAGTTTCCTAGAGAAGGGTCAGAGCCTTGCAATATGTGGCATTAAGAGCTTGGATAATTGCTTTCTATAAATGCACGGCACTGGTTTTGGTGTTGGGGAGCATTCAGAGGTGAACGAGAGAGTACTGACTGTGCCCATCCTCTCAGGCCGAGTAGATTAGACCCACAGAAAAGACTGGATGGGAGAGCAGATGTGTGTAGATGAGACAGTAAACACATTCACACAGCAATGCACTGCTCCAGTTGGCTTGGATCAGACTGCTAGAATTCCTAAATGAGTTCTTTTACTAATACAAATGTTCTTTTGAGTAAAACAAACTTAATTTAGTTCTTGAGGGGAAAAGGAAAAGAAACAGGAATTAGGGAGATTATACACAGCCTCTTTGTGGCTTTCCTTTATTATGCTAATGTGATAAACTAATCCTCAATCATTTGATAATGGATAATGGCATAATATATTTACTGTCTTCAGAATATTCTTTTGCATAAACAAGGGGATTTAACTAGGAGATTTAGGTCATGGTGGCCAGTGAGAAGAGTACTTTTGACGAAGATGGCTTTTTGAAAACTCCTTAAATCATAGGATCCTACCTATTTCTCTATGGTGTGAGGGTTGTTTTACTTTAAATTCATACTATTCATAATTTTTAATTTAATTTTTTCATTGATTTTATAATCACATTAAAAATCAAAGCATACAGAAAGGTATACAGTGAAAAAGCCTCTGTTATAGGCAGCCACTATTAATAGTTGCTGTTTATTCTTTTGGATATATTTTACACACATACAAGCAAATACAAATATATATTCAAAATAGAAGTTTTTGATACTATAATCCAGGCATCCTCAAACTACGCCCCTCGGGCCACATGCGGGTGTTTTTGCCAGTTTGTTTTTTTACTTCAAAATAAGATATGTGCAGTGTGCATAGGAATTTGTTCATATTTTTTTTTTTTTTGAGACAGAGTCTCGCTTTGTTACCCAGGCTAGAGTGAGTGCCATGGCATCAGCCTAGCTCACAGCAACCTCAAACTCCTGGGCTCAAGCAATCCTCCTGCCTCAGCCTCCCGAGTAGCTGGGACTACAGGCATGTGCCACCATGCCCGGCTAATTTTTTCTATATATATTAGTTGGCCAATTAATTTGTTTCTATTTATAGTAGAGACGGGGTCTCACTCTTGCTCAGGGTGATTTCGAACTCCTGACCTCGAGCAATCCGCCCGCCTCGGCCTCCCAGAGTGCTAGGATTACAGGCGTGAGCCACCGCG